TTAATCACCTTCACTTCTCCACAATCATTTAACTATTGCAGCTTGTAGGATCTTGGGTGTTTTTCACATTTTAAACCTATTTTCTTCGCCAAAGTAGTACTAGCCACATTTACACAACTCCCTCCGTCAATGATCACAACATAAACTTTTTCACTTACAAGGCATTTCGTATGAAACAAATTTTTCTTTTGTTATAAACTTTCCTCCTTAACTTGCATATTAAGAGCTCGCCTAATAACCAATGATTCTCCACAGGCAACATACTCAATATCATCATCACAATCTTTTAAAGGTGGTATATTATCACAATCAGAATTAGATTCAGACTCAACATCCCTATTGTCCATAATAAACATGACCTTCTTATTTGGACATTGTGAAGCAATATGTTCCACTCCTAAACATTTGAAACATTTAATATTTCTATGTGTATTAGTAGATATGAGGTCAGAAGTATCTTTAATAGATGATGGGGTACCTTTATCTTTGCTTTTGTTGAAATCTGTAGCCTTTTCCTTGGAACCAAAATTCTTCTCCTTGATCTTCTCCTCTTTCTTAGGCCACTTTGAATTCTAATTGCTATTAGAACCAAAATATGACTTTGTTGTCCCCTTAATTTTCAATTGTGTTTCTACTTTCATGGCCATATTAACCATCTCTTCCAACTCAACATTGTGAATTCAACTATATTGACAATTTCTCTATTCAAGCTACTTAGAAATCGTGCCATGGTACATTCTCTATCTTTCTCGATATTTACTTGAATCATGTCTATCTCTATTTTTTGTTGATAATTTTCAACTAATTTAGACCATTGAGTGAGCCTTAGCAATTTCTAATAAAGCTCTTTATAGTAAAATGATGGAATAAACTTTTTTCTCATGATAGCTTTCATTTAAGTCCAGGTGGTGATGGGTGCCTCTCCATTATGTCTCCTAGATATGAGTAGTTAATCCCACTAAACCAAAGCATACTCAGTAAATTCAACGGCTGCAAACTTCACCTTCTTCTCTTTAGAGTAGTTATGACATTCAAATATCAACTCAACTTTTTGTTCCCATTCTAGATAAGTTTCAGCATCATTTCTACCTTGAAAAGAAGGAATCTTCATCTTGATAGAATTAATGTTACTGTCCCTTCTTTCGGGTCATCTTTATACTGTTGACTCTTCACTATCTTCATTTACTTTCCTTTCTACCTCGTCATCATTCAATATATTTTTTCTTTCCCTATTTTGCCTCCTTTGATTAGGACCACCTTGTCGGCCTCGAAAGCTATCTATATCACCTTTCATGTGGTTTATGTTCCTATTATGCTTCTCAAACTGCGCATTGCTTCTAACATAAATGCTATGTCATTCATGGTTATTTCACACTTCTTACTTTTAGAATTTGACATGGTGTAAAACCTGCAAAAAATATTAATAAAGAAAATTTCTCACAACACTCCCTTACGTGTTTCACTTTTAAATAGATTTATCACTTTTCTCGTGTTTTCACTCAGGATTTTGGCATACACCCTCAAGTCTTTTACCACTCTATTCTTCTTCAAGTTGTAATTCAGAATCAAAAGTAACTTAATCAAGATAAACAAATAGTTGTTTATATGACACTTCAAGGAATCCTAATGAATGAGAAGGTAAACAATTAACTAGATTCAAATAAGATAAATAAGAACATAATATAAACATACGGATTAAGGTTGGTGTTTTTTTTTAAATTAATTAAAGTAATTAGGATGCAATTAGCTACTTTTAGTGTAATAAAAATAAGAGGTATATGAAGAAACGAAACTAAGAATGCAAGAAAATAATTTTTGACTAATGATAATATAATTCAGATCACTCCTAATGAGAAATCTGAATATGTAAACCTATAATTTATTCCCAATGTAAGCTACGCTCTAGACAATAAAAATTATGCTATTGTGAAACAATATATGTGAAGTGGATGTACTTTGACTAAGATGGACAGAATTGAAAGTTCAATGAACATACCTTTTTTCTTTTGCAATTGAAGCCGATTCCTTTTCACTTTTTTTTTTTTACTTTTCTTTTGATTTTTTTTTTAATTCTGCTAGCAAGAAAATAATAAAGAACACATAATTGAAGAATAAGAACAAGATGCAACCAAAATCAAGAGTAATAAAAATAAAAGTTAAATAATCTTAAATAAATAAGAACAAGAAGATAAACTTAGATAAATCAAATACAAATGATACTTAGAGATTTATCCATGGCCAAAGCTTTGATACCAAATTGATGCGAAACTTAAGGATCAAAGATTACATCCAGAACCCCACATATATATTTAGCATAGATAACTTAGAACCCTAAATAGATACTCCCTACCAAACTTACAACTAACCTGTAATTGAGAACTTGGGTGATTAGGATGAAAGAAGCAAAGATGAATAAACGCTACAAGATAACTTGACAAGTTAATTCAATTCTTGATGCAACAAGAAAAATAAGAATTCTCACTTGTCAAAGTTCTACCAGAGGTAATAAAATTCATTCAATAATCGAAGTGTCATATTACATTGCAAAAAAGAGATATATATAGGCTAAAACACATAGATTCTGCCAAATGATCATAATTAGATGACCTAAAGAACATAGACATAATTTAAATGACCTAGGATAACATAATATTAAATGACTTAGGGAAACATGGTATTAAATCTTGTGATTGGATCAGCTGACATTGTAATATCTTCTTCATGTTTCTCTTTAATGCCTTTTGAACTCATGTCTACATCATTGAGTGCATGAGAATATTTTATATTACTTATTCCAATTGCTAATGTTAAAGGTTGTGTGTCATATTGGTTTGACATGTAAACATAAAAGAAAGTCAACATCAAAATAAAAAGATCTTATTAAGGAGATCAATAAGTACATTAGCAAAAACAGAATTATTAAAACAAGGAGCTAATTAACTTGGTTTAAGCTCCAAGTTATTAACATATGTGGTCATTTATCTACTTCAACGTGTTTCATGAAATGATTAGTAGTCAAACGTATAAACTTCGTTAAATTTAGGGTAAACTATAAGTATTGAGTTTAACACATATATAACACACATAAAAAATCACTCATGATGAAATATTTGTAATGGTCATTTAATAAATATTATATTCAAAAGAATTGAAGAGTTTAAAAAGACATATACGTAGATAGACCTAGGGTAGAACATCGTAGTACGATCAAAAACCCATTTTCAAACTTAGAAAGGCTAGGAACATAAGACCAAATCATGTTTGATGCCTCACCTACATGCCAAGTGAGCCACCTGTTAGGCCTGCGTGCATGCAAGGCAATTTAAATAAACCTTAAGCTTTCTAAAAGAAAAGTATTGTTCACCAATAATAAGAAGCAAGGTAAATCTTGGAAGGACCAATAACAAGGAGCATATATAATTTTCCTTTTATCTTACCTTTTCTTTCTACTCATTTAAAAAAGTTTGTGGGATCATCACTTTCGATAATGATTAGTTCCTGTATCCTATCTATAAAGTTGAGCATAATGTGAGTATGTGGCATGTTTGTTTATTCTTATACTCGTCTAATAGTAAAAACATAAACTTATACATGTTCTATTAGAGTGGGTAAAATTTTTTTTACTTACTACCAACTCTATTGGTAAAACTCTCTAAACTTCGCCCCCTTCTTACTTGTTTTTCTAATTCCAAAAGATATTATAAAATACCGAATGAAAAACTAAAAGTTAATTTAAAAAATTTAAGGATTAGTTAAATTCTTATTTTAAATAAGATCATGAATAAGTGTCCAATTCTTATGTTTTTTTCGCCTTCTATTTATATACTTTTTCTTCTTATTTCAACTGTTAGATTCTCTCTCCTTTGTAACGTGATAGCCAAAATTGACAGATTAATACCTTGAATGTTTAAATATGATTGACACTAATGTTAGATCCCCTTCTTTCCTCTTATTTTCCCTCATTTTGTTTTCTACATTTTTTTTATTTCCTACACTACATTTCCTACCTGCATTTTTTTTGTACAACATATTTTCTACACATGCTTGTAGCTTTGGGTATCATGCCTTCTACATTTTGTCCTTACACTCTGTGCAATTTATTTCAATACCCTATTTTCATACTTTTTATGATTTTTTTTATTTAATTTTTTATACTTTATTTATACTCTTAGTTGTATTTGATAAATAATATTTAAAATTTGAACTAACTAAAATTATAGAGCCGTTAAACCTAAAGATAAATGTAACAAAATCCAAATACCTAAAAAGAAGAAATTGACTTCTTGATTGAATAGTCTTTAGTGTTTAACACTTTACTACAAAAGTACCTAGCTCCACAAATTTGTTATTAGAATAAAGATAATCAAGTTTATTTTGGAAAATGACCTTAGTTATGGCAGAAAACTCTAATTATTGATTTTTGTTAAACTTTCTAGGTGGAAAATGCACATCTAATTCTCCATATTATTCCCTCAAATCTTCTCTGGCCTTAGAATCTTATACCCTAAAAACATGAAGGTGCGTATCTAAAGTCACATCACAAAATACTTTGAAGATTGGGAAGAGTTGAGGAGAGCTGTTATTTGGATTGGGCTCCTAGTTAGGCTTGCCAAGTTTGGGATTAATGGTAACGGGGTAGGGCAAGGCTTTAAGAATTGAGTTTAAATGTTTTGCAATGAATTTGAGCCAACAATCAACGTAAACGATCTTAGACAAATTAAATGGAGCAAAAATGGGTTGGCTTGTGCATGAGGTTGTGGAAATGGGTTTAATAAATCAAGTCTTGCACTTGTTTATTGAAAATTGAAATGGAAATGAGTTTTGAGCAAACTTAATTACAGATTGAAATGGCTTGTTAAAAGGTAATAAATAGACCAATATATTATTTTTAGATGGGCAGTATAATATATATATATATATATATATATACTAAGAATCATACGTGAATTTTCATATTAAACGCTTATAATTATCGAAATCATATTTAAACTTGTGAAGATGCAAACATATATTTGGCCAGTATACAATAAATGATGTTTATTGAAAAAACGACACTTCAATTTTTTTCTAAAGAAAATCATTTCCTGGTTGGAAGATCCGAGGGTGCGTTACGAGAGCCGCATGCCCGACCCCTGAAGAGCGAAAACCCAAAAGCATGTCCGAACACAGCGGCCAGGAAAACGCCGCCATTAAAAGACATGACAGAGAGCATCACCAAGTAACGGAAGCCAGACGAGACGGCATGCAGCCCTGCCCCATACATGCAAGATGCCACCTTGTTGGCTCCGGACGGCTTTGTATCGGTGCAGCGAGAGAGGCCCTCGGCGAGGACCGCCAGTGCAAAGACGAAGATGAGAGCCAGAGCGTACATGGGCTTGCTGGAACCCGGCCAGCCGGAGAAGAGGACCTGGCATGTGTGGCCCCAGTAGAAGGTCAAATGCATCCAGAGTGGCCTGTGTGCGACGTGGGTAACACTACCACCAGTTGTGTTCCAAGCAGAGGTCATTGCCGCCAGAACGGCGTCGTCTAATGTCAACATCTGGGTTGGGGTATGCAGTGATGTGACATGGAGAGAGGTAGTGAAGGGTTTAGTTCCTTTTAATATGCTGAAGAAGAAGCTGAAAGGGGGAACAGAAAATGGAAAAGAGAAAATACAGAGCAGAGAAGAGAAAATATTCTTTCTTTTATCATATAATATTTGGGCTTTCTATTCTCAACTCACGCTCCTCCTCAGGGAAACCAACCCCAAGATTTTAAGAAAATATTTTAATAAATCTAATAGGAAAATAAATAGTAAGCATATAGTCAACAATAGAATTTAAATCTCGGCCGTTAATAATGTGATCAAAATGGAAAGTCAAATGGATTTGATAGGGTTAGAAGCAGGGGATTGGACGGAAGATAAAACTAAAGAAGGGAAGTGGTACTACGCGCTACAATGTTGAGTGGGTTGAGATGTGCTATAATTCCTTTACAAGCAATCTCTGAAAAGAACCAAACCCCACATCAAAGAATAAAAAGCATTAAATTTTAATTATTTTTAAATTAGTACTTAAATTTCTTAATTATTTATTTATAATAAATTGTGTGAATACATTATGTCCTTTGAAGGACACGTGTATGATGATTATTACTCCAAACCAAATAAAAAAATTTTACAACTACATTTATTTTTATTTTCAATTGAAATATTTTTGTATATCCTTAAGAAAGTAAGAAAGAATGTAATGAAAATGATATTTAGAATCATGATTAAAACATAGAATAAGTTCCAAAAATTTAACAATTTCCATTAAAAAATTTGCAAAGTTGTATAAAATAAAATAAAAGTGTAAGATAGAGTTTAAGTTTAAAAATAAACAGTTATATAAATATTTTATAATTTAAATTATCATATATATATATATATATTCTTAATTAAAGTGAGTGTTAAAAATGTTAAGATGAGTGATGTTGCCCAGGTGTGCGTAAAATATGTGTATGTGGTGTGTATATATATATATATATATATGTACATGTGTCAATGTACATGGTGTCGTTTGCATTTAGGATTATTATACATGTTTGATTTGGTGTAAAATCTTGTATTCTTTGTTTTCGAAATAAGAACATTTGAGAGAACAGATTTAGGATTTTGCTCTCTTTCAAACCCCCATTTTCTTAGCTTGCATTTTCTATAGTTTCTCACCAAGGTCTGATACATAAAATTTTTTTATGGTATCAAAGCTAACGATAGAGGATGAAAATTTCAACTCAAATATAATTCAAAATCCATGTTTGTTGAGTAGAGTGGGCCACGATTCTTTGCATTTAAATGGTCTATATTACACTTGAGCGAGTAAAAACTATAAAACTTACTAGTCATACAATTACTAAACTCCAATAACTATCACACTTGGGTAAGATTTATGATGCGCACCCTCAAAATTAATAACAAATTCATATTCATTGATGAGAACTTTAGAGAACCTACATATCTGAGTGCCTACTCATAGAACACTAGTTACAATGTAGTGATATTATTATCACCTGGATATAAAACGCAGTATAAGTCGATATTAAGCCAACATATTTTATGCAGATATAGCCTATCAACTTTAGAATAAACTGGAGCAAAGGCATGTACAGCACAACATTCCTAAGATCCATGAGGTGAAGCAGCCAATAACTAACTTTGTACAAAACTAAGATACTACAAGTATTTACTTAATTATCATTAACTTCCTAATTGTACATGCAGCGGGTTAAAATCTGTAATAGAATATCAATAGAGAGATTGGATGATGAAATTTTTAATGGGGTTGAACGAATCATATAAATCAAGAGAAAAATGATATAAAATACAAAAGACCAAAGAGAGAGATCTTGAGGACTTGAGTCAACAAAGTCTAGAGATATGAGGCCATCGCGAGAGAAGTCAAGTTAATGATGTGAACAGTGAAAGAGAAGGAGGACACAGAGAATGAAGTAGATAGAAGTCATGTAGTGCAAGAGACATCATTATCTATGACTCCCTTATTAGAAAAGAACAGAATTGATGGAGTACTTGAACCACATAAGGAAGAAGCAAGATAATCCGAGGAATAAAGAAGTCTAATAGAGTAGAAAGACCATAGTCTTATTTGAAAGTATATTTATGAATAAATAGTGGCAACAAGTGAACATTCAGAGCTACTGAATAGACAGAAAAACACTAAAAAAAGGGCAATCCCTATAACCTCCTATGTCAGTTATGATAAATTCAATTGTGGATATCAAAACTTTGTGCTTGATGTTAGTTCCCAACGGGAACCCAATAATTATAAAGAAGCCTACAGAGATATGAATTGGGTCAATGCTATGAAAGATGAGATTAATACCCTAGAAAGGAGAAGAACTTGGGCAGTCACAGATCTATTATCCACCAAGGAGGTAATAAGGTGTAAGTGAGTGTACAAAATTAAATTTAATGCAGATGACACAATAGGGAGATTCAAATCCAAATTAATAGTTAAACGATTCACGTAAAAAAAATGTTAAATTATCATGAAACATTTTTAATAGTGGCAAAAAATCACTACTATGTGGCTAATTTTTCCTTATCTGCTATTAAGGTGTGGTATCCTAGAAAATTTGATATCAACAATATTTTTTTGCATGGGATTTGAATAAAGGGTTGTACAACGAATTGCCACTGGGATACCTAAATAAAGGAGGAACAAATGTCTTCAGACTAAAGAAAAATATATGAGTATGAGCAGAATTCATGCTAATTTGGTGCAAAATTCTCAATATTTGTCTTGCAAAAGGGTTTTGAACAACCAAAGGTTGACTACAATTTATTTTTAAGGAACAATATACAAGATTTTGTCGTTATTTTTATTTATGTAGACAATATAATTGTGATAGGAAATTATCTAAATATAATTGAGGCTTTGAGATTTGCAATGGACGAGAAATTCAAAATTAAAGACTTGGAAATCTTAAATATTTCTTGGGAATAGAAATTGCTAGAACTAAGGATGAAATATATATATATATATATATATATCATAAGAAGTATATAATAGATCTATTGATCAAAACTGGAATGTTGGTGCACAAGCCTCCAAAACTATCTTTGAATTAGATATGAAGTTATCAAAAGATGAAGTTAAGTTACTTACAGACCATATCATGTATAAAAGACTTATGGAAAAATTAATGTACTTAACTTTCACAAGATCAAATCTGTCATACTCCATTCAGCTCCTCAGTCAATTCATCAAATAGCCTCGTGATTAGTACCTAAAGGTTGCCTATAAAGTTCTTGGATATATAAAAGGGACTGCATAACGGAGTTGTTCTACTCATCTGTTTTGGATTTGTAGATTAAGGCATACTATGACGGCAACTAGAGAATATACTCTAACACGTAAAGATCAGTCACATGATATTGTGTTTTTCTTGAGGACTCATTAATTTCATTAAAATCGAAGAAACGACCCACTATAGCACACTCATTTGCAGAAGCTGAATATCAAGTTATGTTAGCAATAAACTGTGAGGTAGTTTAGTTGAAGTATCTATTGATTGATATGGTTATTGACCATATACAGGCAATAGTTTTGCATTGTGATAACAAAGTTGCATTGCATCGGCTAATTTAGTATATCATGAAATAATAAAACATATTAAATTAGACCGCTATTTGATTCTAGAGAAAATACAAGAGGAAATTCTAAATATATCATGAGTGTTGACCAAGTTAACGACACCTTAATTAAGGCCTTACAAATAAAATTGTTTGTTATACTTATATATGCCCAAGATGGGAGTGAGGAACATCTATTATCCATATTGCAGGAGGGTCTTAAAGAATATGACACAAAGAGCACAGGAAATAAAATGAGTGAAGTTGCTGGGCATATGGTCATGCGTGTGTAAATATGTGTGTGTGGTGTGTATGTATATATCTGTTAATGCAAACAGTGTTGTTTGTGTTTAAGATTAATATACATGTTTGATTTTGTATAAATGAAATGTAGGTACACATGTTTTCACCCTCATATAAATACTTTTTTTCTTTGTTTTTAAAATAAGAAAAAAAAAAGGAAAACTTTCAAGACGATAGATCTAAAGTTTTACTCTTTCTCAACCCCTCGTCTTCTTCCTTATTTGTTAACCATTTTCTGTGATAATTGCTTGTATTTTCTACAGTTTCTTGCCAAGATCTAGTTCAGAAAATCTTTTATGAATCACAACCTACTAGCTTGAATCCATAATAAATAAAAAGCTCGATATGTTTTAAAAGCATATTATCATGAAACTACAAAATAATAATAATAATAATAACAACACTATAAACACTTAACCAGTTAATCAAAGTGATGTAGACTCAACGCCAGTTGCAAATAAAAGAATGAATTTTGGTCTAGTTAACTATATATATATACATATATGATGCAAATAAGGCTAAAAACACTCAAGATACTCAAAGAGTATCAAAAGGTGACTTGAAGCAAATTTTAAATGACGTGAACACAAATAGAGTTTCAAACTTGGAAAGTTTCAGCGGGCTAGTAACAAGATCAAAGGCAAAGAAACTTAAAGAGTTACTCTAAGTTTTCACTCAAAAACATATGGATGATGGGCTGGCTAATTGTGGAAAGTTTAAATATGAGCTTTTTGAATAGTCCAAATTCGTAACTTTAATTGGGTTTAAATGATTTGGGATAATTTGGGCTTGTTTGAGTCTTATTGGTAATGGGTGAATAAGCCTTGTGTATGAGCTGGATTAGTTGAGTGGTTTTAAGTATTTTGGATTGTTTTATTTTAGTTTGAGTTAATTAAGCCCATATAATCAAGTGTAACTCATTTGGGCTTAAG